AAAATTTCACGCACCTGCGCATGAAAGCTGAATTCGAAACCTTGAAGAGTGAATATCTTTCCGTGACTCCCGAGTTAATAGTCTACCCGCCAAAATTTTCACGAGGCCGTAGGTGATGCTCGAGAGCGTGGGAACGCTGAATTTGGATGGGCAAGGTTGAGCGTGGGCAGGGGGTCACTACCGTAAAATTTCAGTTTCCTAGACTCCGTGGTTCCCGAGATAATAATTTACCCGTCAAAAATTTTCACTGGCCGCACGTGTTATCCGCGGGTGCAGGAAGTTTGAGCTTTCTAGGTCGCACGTGATCAGGGGACATACCCATAAAATTTAGCTTCCTAGCTTCCGTTCCTGAGATACTGATTTTACCGAAAAACTTTTACTGGGCCGTACGTGTTACCCGCGGGTAGAGAAAGGCTGAATTTAAATTTGTCGCGTCACCCGCTGGCGAGGAACACTATACCAAAATTTCAGCCGCCTAGCTTTTGTGGTTCCCGAGTTGAAAGTGAGGGACAAAATGTGAGACACACACACAGACAACCCCGTGACAATATGTTTTTCGTGCTGCTTTTACACAGCACGAAACGCATGAAGGGGAAGAGGACTGTAGAAATTGGAGGAACTGCAGCACAGCTGAATCCCATACAGTCCAAGGCTGAAAGAATAGAATTTGATGAAGAGTAGTGGCTAGTAAAATAGTTGGGGTTGTTGATGTGGAACAAACCAGTTGATAGGTGAAATGGTCATGTTCAGGGTATATATAGGATGGTCTGTCTGTGTTTCATCCCTGAGCTGTAAACACAGACAGCGCGAGGTGTGGTTAGGGATGGGAATCATCAGTACAGCCGCCTAATCACACAAGTAACTTCTGGAAAACTCAGAAGGAACTCAGAAGAGTGGTAATATGTACCAACAGCAACCACTACCGCTGGTTAGACCGTCGGTGGCCCTTTTTTTTCCACAGTTAAGCAACTTCAGTAGTTTTGTTTGTAGCTCAGTGGCTATCTTGTAAGTGTAATGTGCAAGAAGACATGTTTGAATGCTATGTTTCATCCCTTAGCTGTAAACACGGGCAATTCAAGGGTTCAGCTCCGTCAGTGGTTTCAGCTGAAACTTTCTTGGCTCTTTCGATGGTAAATTGGTATAAAAAAGCAGCCAGCTTACTTGTAAGAAGCCTCCCGAAACGAAACAAAGGGCAGTTTTGTGGGCTAGCCATTGCTACTGCCGTATGATAGCGTTTGGACTATTTTGAAGTGTTTTCGTCTCTCACAGGCAGTAATATGAAAAGCTTTCACTTTAGCTTGTCTTTTCACCGAAATTTCCAAGATAAAAGACTTTCGCGTCCTTTGTGTATATTTTTAATGTATAATTTAAGAAATGTGTATAATTTAAGAAATGGATACGACTTAATGGACCGAAACATTTCTTACCTAATTTAATACTTCTTTTTCCCACCCTTCCTTATCTTTTCCATCATCCCTATATCTTTCCATTATCATTCTTACATTTTGTTTTAACCTTAAATAGTGAATATTTTAGCAATGAAATTGTCATCGGCTCTTGTGGACGTGGCTCTGGAATTGGTGGATTTGAAGGAGCGGAACGCCATGCAGGTATTCACTACTAGGCATCAGCCACTCCGGTTTTCCTCACTTTTCGAGGAGACATTTGGCATACAGCCAACAACCTCCAATTTTTTTTTTTTTTTTTTTCGTTGATCTTGCTTTACGAAGTGAAACCCTACCACGAGCATTTGATTCCTAAGCCGACAGTAACATCCAGGTTGACCTTGAATGACAAAGTGTCGAAGGCGTATTAGACTGACGAGGTCCAACTGTGGCAACGGTAAGAAATGTATACGACCTAATGGACCGAAAAATTTCTTACCAACTTTAATAATTCTTTACAACCTTTTCATCTTTTGTTCATATTTTCTCTAAAACCTTAAATAAGTTGATGACAAACTCTTTTTTTGTCGATTTCCATAGTTTTAGCTGTTTCCGCACTGCTGTTTTGCATTGATTTGTCGCTTCACATACTGTTCACAGCGACCCATTGCTTACTTAGATTGTCTAGTGCTTCCCGTAACTCTAAACATTTATCAGATGCAAAAAGGAAGGACAATTTTTTTGTATTCGCAAATAAAATACTTTTTCCTCCTGCACTACAGGTGGAGACAGAAAAAGCGAAGTTGGGCGTAGAAAATGCAAACAGTCGACTTGACGTTCTCATCCACAAGAAAAATGAGGCAAGTTTTTTGATGCGATGCTATACAATAGCATTTTGCTGCTTTCTTTTGAGCAGTTTCAGTTTAAGTTATTCTTTTTTTGAAATTCTTAATAGTTACTTTAAGCGATCTTTTTGTTATTTTTTCAAAAGCTGAAATGAAATGAGCTTTTTTTTTTACAGCTCGAGGACAAAACGGAAGATATTCGGCAAATGCTGACGTACATTTTCAAGAGTGTCTTTGTCCACCGTTATCGGTAAGAGTTTTTTTCGCTTAGAATATGAATAATCATCGTTTTGCATATGCATTTTTTTGATAATTTATAAATAATCGAGAAGAGTTCGAAGATTTGATGCTGTGGAAGGT